GGGGGGGGGGGGGGGGGGGTGCCTATTGTCACAATCGTATCTTCTCTATCTTGAGACGAGTGATTGTGCAGGACTTGCTTCAACGCATTGTTGAAAGTCAGCTGTAAAAGATCAACTACTGCAGACAACCTTGAGCACGGGTCTAGCCTCCACTCACATTTTCACTAAAAATGGTCTTATAAAACGTGAGCAAAGAAAAGTATTTGAAAACATCTTGAAAAGAAAGCGTTGTAGACCATGGCTAAAAAGCTTGAGAGCAATAGCATTTACAAATACTTGGTTGAGGGAGATTTGATGACTATTTGGTCTCTCTATATTACATTTTGAAACAAATTTACTATATGTTAAGAAGGGAGAAACGTTGTACATCCACAAGACTCTTAACAAATGAAAATAAACAACAAAACTAAGTACATGGTGTGAAAACATGATGGTTGAGGATGGGTTGGGCATATGTTCTAGGCAAACACTCCTTGTTCATGCCCAATACACCTATTTTTATTTGATCGCTGAATAATGTTTGAGATTACTTTGAGGTTAGTAGTAAATTTTTATTTTGATTAGCAAGACTGAATTTTTAATGTTCTATTGAAAATGGGGGTAATTTATAAAAATGAAAATTGTATAATCATAAATAGGAATGGAGCAACTTTATTACAATTCTTATAAGCTATTAGGTACTATGAATTTAGGCGTACATATCAGACAAATATTAAGGATTAAGTCTTTTTTTATCAATTTACTCATTCATATCAAGCGAGGTTGAATTATTGGAAATGAGGTGGTGACACATTTTTGGGTGGATTGCTGGGTGTATGATGATCCCTTTTCATTCATAGATTACTGTCTTGCTTTCACCTTTCCTGCTTTTTGTTATCTGTGTTTCTCTATTCATCCCGCAGATCTGCAGGCATAACAAAGATTGCTGTATCGTTCCTGTGTGAATTCACTTCTGATTCAAAAATAGAAACAAAATTTTTTAATGCTTCGGCGTCTTTATCAGTGATACCTAATCTTCCCCTTGCTCTTGGAGTTCCAATCACCTGGATTCTTCCTCCCTACTACACTTCAAGCAAAGCTTTGCCAGCATCCTTGGACTCATATGGCCACTGGGAGAGTCAGAGCCGAAAAAGAACTATAACATATTCCATATTAAGAGGTTGTGGTGAAAAGGATGAAGATGCCTGGAAGGATGCCATCTCCATTCACGGGGAAAGAATAAAGACTGCAGAGAGTAACAATATTGCATGCATTCAGGCAAATGATCGCTCTTCTGGAAGAATGGAGATTGCTGCTTGTGTCAGAGTGGCAGAGGTATAAATTTTATTTCCTTGTGTGTCAATATCTGAATATTAGAGTGACATGAGCTTAAAATATCCATGAGAAATCATTCATTTATTATGAGCCTTAGCCAAAAATTTGTTATTTTGAAAGACGTTCTCCCGGAAGGAGTAGGGAAAGTCATTCCTTTACTCTCATTTTGTTTTATTTTCATTTTCATTTTCATTTTCATTATCCTCAACTCATAATTGTTATATTTCTTGAAGAGGCATGGAATACTATGTTCATCACTTATTTTTTGTTCCTTTCTAAATTTCTATGTTCCTTTACATTGTGAAACTTCTACCAAATTTAGAATATAATAGCATCCTTATTGATTAATATCTTCCAATGGAAAATTGATCTATCATTTACTGGCCAATTCAAGAGGGACATTGTCTCTCTTAACAACACCTTGAGATACTAATCCCCCCGAGCCCCCCTAATAACAAGATAATCTTATTCTTGTATATCCTGCCTCACCAGTCAGCAATGCACACAAAAAAAATTATTCCACTTTACAAGGGGTCTTCCACTTTTAGATATGTGCCTTCTTCAAGAAAATCTCTGTATGTTGTATCTTTGTAGTATTTGGGAATATTGAAGCTTACATGATATCTACTCATTAATTTTATTTCCTGGATTTTCCTAAGAATCAGGATTGCTTGATAGAGGTTCCCACATTTGTTAACCTTATATGTGCATAAGAGATCTCCTCCCCGTTTTCACGCAGTATTCCCTTGGTTGATGTATTGTGTTAGGTGTTATATATATCTTCATCTGTTCATTAGCTTCTCACTCAGTCTGGGTATTTGTTATCAGGTCGCCCAAATAAGGTTAACAAATCAGGAATTCCCTTTCCACGTGATCAATCTTGCTGTTGATACCGAACTTCGTCTTCCAATTAGCTACTATGATTCTCTAGGTACCAATTTTTATTTGTAAAAATTTGATTTTATATGCTTTGATATTCTTTTCTTGTGGATCATATCTGACAATGTTCTTAACTAGGCAATCTCTTTCACGAGGCTCATGATGTTGTTCTCTTTTACGTGGAAACTAACTACCCAGATATTGTTTCTGTTAATTATTCGAGAGAAGGCAATGGATATATTTATTTGAAGGTACGTGAAATACTGTCTTTACATAAAAATATATTGGTTTGTAATATCAGGATAGATTTATCTATATAGTCTGCGAACGTTTCAAATGGACAGCTCTAGGAAGTGTGGCTTGTGTTTGAAGGTTCGTGAAAATTCTGAAGTTTCTTATTTGGTTTTCACCAAGCCATGAAAAAAAGAATAATGTAAAATTATTAAAATTTGTCATATCAAGATTTCACATCATTTTTTCGTGAGTCAATTAACTGTGAAATTAACTTGTGACCATTTAGAACTATTTTCTTTATCTCAAGACTAAAATACCTTTTGAAACATCAGGACTAAATAGACACCGAACTCAAACCTTAGGGACCAAATATTTTTTTTTTCCTTAAGTTTATTAGTCAAGAAATGTCATCTTGTTTTAGAATCAAGTTTGATTGGCTTTATCATCATAATTCGTCCCTGGTCAAGCCCTTATTTAATTTTCTTAGATAACAAAGGTTTTATATTCTCGTCATGGCTCTTTGGAGTTGTCTTTTAGAAGAAACCTGACCTTGATATCCATTCCTCCTGTGCTTGGTAGTCGTGATGTACATCTATCCTTGTTTGTTGATGAGAATTGCAAGGATCCCAATTATTCATCTTCTTAAAATATCCCTGTTTGCAGATCATCCCAATTATTCATCTCCTCGAGCACTCTCATCTTCTTCTTCTCTTCTCTTTTCAGTTTACTAATAAATTTTATCTTCTATAAGAAAAAAAAATCTAGAATTTCATTAAAAGAGTTCTTAACCACATGCAACTCACATAATTGTAGACAGTAATTGTGTGTTGGCTATTGATTGAATTTTTAATTTAAATATATTTTGCTGTAGCTCTGTTGTGACTTCTTCTTTTATTGTTGAAGGCAAGGCAACATGGTAGAGCTCTTGTCCAAGTATCGATTGACAAGAATCCAGAAAAGTCAGACTATATATTGGTATGGACCAAGGGCCTCTTCTTTTTAATTTGTAAAATATTTTTGTGCGTTCATATTTTTTTGACAAAGAGAGAACAAAGAATTTTGACATAAGAAAACCTAAAATATCGATGTGTTTCACATGATCGTAGCTTTCTCCTTGCTTGAGATCCTTTGAAACCCAGTCAATTAAATTGGCAGTGTTAGGACACTAATCAACATGCAGAACTCTCTTACACTTACATCTGTAAGTTAAATGGACAACTAAGCATATGTTTTTGAAGTTGGAGTTATTAGTTTCAGTCAGATAAGATCTGTATAAGTTTTAATTTTTAGTTTTTCTGGACAACTAATTTTTAGTCTTTAGTTTTTCTTCAGTCAGATAAGACCTCCCCGCTACCCACAAAGAAAAAAAAAAAGGAAAAAAAAAAGGAAAAAAAAGGAAAAAAAAAAAGAAAAAACAGTCTCCATAGTGTGCCAGTGTTGTTCAACGTATCTTTTTTGGGGTTGCACTTTTTTTCATATCTCCAAAGAGTAGTTCGTACATATCGTGATTTACAGGTGTAAGCCTGACACCTTTATGCAAGTTATATCATGCCATAATTTCTCTATGATTCCCTGAATCTCATCGTCTCCTCCAGATTTCAGTTGGTGCGCTAATACATCCTCAAGACCCAGTAATTCTTGTTGGTAGTCATCTCAACTTCAGTATAAAAGGTTAGTATCTCGCGGGAGTTGAATTGAGAGCATCAGATTTTCTCGTTGATAGACTGAGTCTAAATTTTACTCGAAAAGCCAATATCAAGACAGACACTTGATTAGTTTCTTTGTCATGTCATGATTATTCTCCTTGCAAATTAATTTTCAAATGCGTACCTCCATACTTCAGGATAATGCAGGGTTTTCTTTTTCTTCTTTTTTTTCTCATTTTTTTCTCGTTGAAGGGGTGGGGGTGTGGGGTGAAACTCAGGCCGGCTTAAACAGTTAAATATAAGGATTTTACTATAAATCTGTGTAGGTTTCAATGGTCAACTTTCGGGCCGGTGGACTACAACCAATGGAAGTGTTTTATCCGTGGATATGCTATCTGGGATAGCTAAAGCAGTTGGTCCTGGTTCAACCGAAGGTACTTGATATCTTCACTGGGTTATATTTGTTACTTCATTTTTAAACTTATATTTTAAGGAATGGTCTTGATTTAAGAAATATTTGTGTAATCAACCGATGTTTTGTTATCCTCTAAACAAAGAAAATATTACCTAATATCTAGAGATTAATTCTAGTGATTTAGCTAGATTTAATTTTAACTAGTATCGAGGAATATTTTTTTAGCTTTTTGTTTTATAAAAGGATAATGTATCTCTCTGAAAATATATGAAGAACGGAGAGAAAGATAGTTTATACATGTAATATCGTATCATAGCCTAAAACCAAACCTTAACTTAATCGGTGAAGCCTTCATAGCCACCAATCATCCATCGTGATAAATTTTGTTCAGAGCCTTCATAGCTTCATAGCTGCCGACCTTTTGTGCATTTCTACAACCAATCGCCTTTGCTTTCTGCTTTCAGCCAAGTATCACAATAACTCATCCAATCTAGTATCACAGTCCACCGCAAGGTCACCATCGGAAAGCTGCAAGTCCAACTTTCTGCATGATCCAAAGGCTAGCGGGAGGCTCATATAGTAAATAGAGAAATGTAGTGAACAGGCTAAGAGAACCTATAGGAACAGAGAAATCTACTAAAGGCTAGTGGCGAGGCTCATATATTTAGCTCACATTAGACTAAGCATAACATACTCAGAGTGTAATTAGCCAATCATGCATGATCCACAAGAACCTCACCTTTAGGCAGCATATAGAGTGTTACGTTATCTGAAAGGAACTTCAGAGAAAGGAATTTTGTTCAAATGAAACAATTTCCTTGCATTGGAAGCTTATACTAATATTGATTGTGTTGGATCAATTGTGGATGGAAGATCTACTATGGGGTATTATACTTTTCTTGGAGATAATTTGGTAACATGGAGGAGTAAAAAGCAAAACGTGGTGGCTAAATCATCTGTCAAAACAGAATTTCACGCTATTGCACAAGAGCTCTCTGAACTCTTATGGTTGAAGATGATCCTTGATGATTACAGATGAAGGGAGAAGATCAGATAAAGTTGTACTGGTACAACAAATCAGCTATCAATATTGCACATAATCCTATCCTACATGATAAAACAAAGCATATTAAAATCGATTGACATTTTATCAAAGAAGAATTAGAGAAGGGAATAGTATGCATTAGGTATGTGCCCCGACAGCTTCAACTAGTAGGTATACTAACCAAAGGACTTCACAGCTCAATGTTTATTTCATGAGTTGACATCCAAGGTGGGAATGGATGATATCTATTCCTCAGCTTAAGGGAGAGTGTTGAAGGAATGGTCTTGATTCAAGGAATATTTGTGTAGTTAAGGGATATTTTCGTAATCCCTTTTAAGTAAGGAAAATGTTAGCTAATATCTAAGGATTGATTCTAGAGATTTATTTGTATATATTATCGCATAAAATGATCATGTATCTCTAAAAGTATATGAAGAATTGGGAGGAAGATAGTTTATACTTGCCACATAATCCACAACCTGTTCCATGCTACAGTACTATTTGAAGGTTCGAATTTGAACTTAAGGACAACAGCAACAGTGCAGACTGGGTACACTCTGTCCGTGGTTGCTCCAGCTGAAATTTTGACAAATGTTCCTTTCCCAGCAAAAGGATATAACTTCTCTGTGAATTTCAGGTTTGTAGATTTGTATTCATGTGAATATAAGACATTAGATTTCACTGTCACTGAATTTTGGAAATATCTTTGGTCAGTTGTGTAATAATTTTCGGTACCATATGTAACGACTCTTTCATGTTGAATTCTTTTGAGGTTGTAATTCGGTGATTATATTCCCTGACCAACTAATTTGACAACAATATATTTTGGGCAAATTTACCTAGTTAGCTAATGAAGTTTCCAAGAATTTTAAATATAGTTCAGAAAATTAGTTTTCCATCAGTAATAATAAAGGAAAGTTGGTGAGATTGTTTTTCTTTTTCATTTATTAATTTAATAATATTTTCTGATCTGGTTACAAATTACAATTCATCGATTCTATATTTTCTTGTTGTATACGTAGTAAATTTATTAATTTACTTGAAGCTAATAATTTGTTGGGTATAAAGTTTTTTTTTTTTTTGAGGTCAATTAAGGTTTAAAGTTTAGGGATTGAGGAATCTTTTCTCATGGAAAACTGTTGAAATGTTAAGTTTTCTTCTGACCTTTTTCTTTTATTACAGTGGCAAACATGGAACACTTCTAAATGATAAGAGAGTCCTGCACGACTGTAGAGTAGACCCTCTCTTTGTTGGGTATGTTTCGATATTTCTTCCAACCCCCCCCCCCCTCAATATTCTTGAATTGAGTAATTGACTGTTCATTCATTTTCTTTTTTATGGATTAAAGGTATGCAAAGCCATGGTTGGATCTTGACAACGACAATTCGTATTGCCTCTTTTTTCCTTACTCGCCGGAGCACTTGGCACATTCAGCCCCCAAGTTGAAGGCCATGAGACCAGATATATCTGTTACTATTTATGCTTCATCTCGAGAAGGCAGCCAAATTTCTGGATCTGCTTCTGCACTTTTTATTGGGGGCTTCTCTGTTATGGAGATGGGCAAGGTAATTCAATCATTAATAAACACCTGCATTGTATTTATCAGGAAACTGAACCTGTATAATTTTATCCGGATGTTTCTTCCAGTCACAAATTGATGTCCATATTAAGCTCGTAAATATGGTCATCAACATAAGAAATTAGTCATTTAAGTTCTTTTCTTTCTTTCTTAGAACTGATGATTTTGGATAATGTGACAAAGATTTTTGTCAATTTTAGCCTTTTTAAATCATTTGCTATCTCCATGAGATGGTATTTTTAAAACTCTTTTTCAAAATAATAATAGTAATTTCCAATAGTTCAACAAAGCTCAGCCAAATCCTTTACATATGTTCCTTCTTCGTAAAATTAGTTTGTATTCCAAGAAAATTTGGTGTGTGATCTTATCAAATTTTGTCTATTTCCAAATTTCAGAGTGCAACGCAATTGATTCTGACTCCAGACTCGAACAAGACTGTTATAACTATCTTGGGGAATACAGGTAAGCTAACAACTTTATACATATTGTAAGAGAGTTTGTAATATATTATTAGATATGCCAAATTCTATGTTCAACACACTATGTTTTATAAACTTGAGGGAATTTCTAATATGGTTTATAATGTTATGGAGGATTCTGTTTCATACGAAAGAATAATTATTATATTATGTTTTGAAATGAAATTTATTAGTAGATCTGCCAAATTCTGTGTATAACTCCCCAGATAAACCTGAGAGTGTCTCTTCTCTCTATGGTTCAATTAAAGTTCTGGAGGATTCTATTTTCTTTTAAAAGCTAATGATTATATCTCATTAATTGAACGCATGGCCAATTGGCTGTGTTTTCTTGTCACCATGGAGGTCAAAATGTTTGAGCTTGCTAGTCGCTTTAGTTACTATCCAAAAAGATAATGATCTCTCATATGGATCAATAAAGTTGTTTAAAGGCTTCCTTCTTCCTTTACTTTTTCTTCTTGACGTAGCCTATGGATATATTAGACCAGCTTTGTGGTTGCTTAAGATTGTACAGGCATAAATATTTTGCACCATAGGTTACTACAATGAATTTGGAAAAGTTTATGGGGAGTTTTCTTAGAAAACGAGAGGGTTTTTTGTAACAATTCAAGCCCACCACTAACCGATATTGTCTTCTTTGAGGTTTCCCATCAAGGGCTTCACCACTAACCGCTAGGGAGAGATTTCCACACCCTTATAAGGAATGTTTCGCTCCTCCAACCGATGTGGGATCTCACACTTTTGCTGTTGTTTCATTCATATATAGTATACGGCATCATAATTAGGAAAATTCTCTTATTGACAACTACTTATAAGAATATAGTGTCGTATTATTGCTGAAACCTCCCGGCTTCCATTTAGCATGTCTGTTGACTTGTTACTGCCAGCAACACTTCATTAATTCTATAGCAGATAACTTCCAGTCCACAATGGCCCATCTCATCCCATCCCTGGGCCTGTAGTATTAAAACTATTACTTTATGAAGGTATCTTGTGTGTATTTTACATTGAATGTTGCTGATGATATTTGCTTTTACACTATTATAGACGTTGAACTTTACTGCCATGAACGGGATTTGGTCATCATTGGTCCTATTTCTAAAGAAGATTCTGGGGTTGGTGGTCATTCAGAGTATGAAGTAAGTTTGACCCTACTTAATATTTACTCATAATCCAATCAATTTGTTTAAGCCCGTATATGAAACAAGTTCTGCCCCTATTTCTTTAAACAATCTATACTCAGGTGAAAGCAATGGGAACGAAGAGATTCAAAGACAAAATTATTATCACATTAGCCGCCAACGGTAAGCTGTTTTTATGCTATTCGTAAAACTATCCCTTCATCATTAATATCACCAAATTGAGATGCATGATTTTGGCGATGGTATGTGTGTGTTGCAGGCCAGAGAACAGAAATTGATGTCTTCTATGAACCCAGAGAAAAAGAAGTATCAGTAGGCGCCTTTGGTACAACGACCATTTGGGCTACAATACTTGGCTCTCTGTTCTTGCTCATATTAACTATTGCTTTATTTATTTGTTTCCTGGACAAGCCTAACAGAGCTCAGCCCTCTCAGCCCTCTCGTCCTGCCACTACTCATACTCCAACTATTACAGCACCCGTCACGCCCGATCGCAGCAGTCCTGTTCTTTCGAATGAACAGTCTCCTCGAACACCACAACCATTTGTAGACTACGTAAGACAAACAATTGACGAGACTCCATATTACAAACGTGAGGGAAGACGGAGATTCAACGTGCAAAATACCTTCTAGTTTCGTGTCTGCTGTCGAACTTATTCCGACCCATTCAACAGGCATTCTTGTTACTATGGCTGGAAGAAGATCTGAACCTCTTGGCGGCTGTTTGGATCCCACTTTTTATTGGGCTCCATTTTCGCACTTTTCTTTGGAGGAGAGGTTCAAGTTTTATCATGCGAGTCCCAGATTTTGGAATTGTTCTTATGTTTGATTAAAATTATGGGATTTGCAATGTTTTCCAACTCTAAATCATTTTCAAAGGAGTATATGTTAGAGATTAGTATCATGCTAGAGGATGATTGAATTGTGCTTAGAATCAGGCTTTCTTAAGTGATTGTTAAGACTTCTGTACACTCTTTGATTTGGGTCTTTGTCTGGACTTTGGAACAATGGCCCTGTACCATTGGGAACATTGGGTTACAAAATTTGTAAAGCTAGTTTGGTTATTGATCAAAGCGACTCGATTGTTGTAGGAGTCTATGACGTAGAATCTCTCATGAATACAAGTTTACTGACTGTCCTGGCTCTTCAATCGTCGATGTACTGCCCCTTTACATACGTGAATTAGGCCCTTGCTTAGGGTCGAGCTCTTATTCCATAATAGATTAATAATAATAAGGCGTTTATTGCTATTTTAGTAATTTATTACCATTTGATCTTGGGGTGTTTTAAAAAAATCAATTTACAATTTGATCTTGTGGTGTTCCAATGTACCCTCATCCTAGATACACAATGGGTTTTTCATCCAAATACTTTAAAACATATTTTTATTTAAATTTTAAAAAGAGAAACAATTTTAAAGAAATTTTATATTGTTACAAATTAGTTTAATTTTAACTAAATTATGTCATGTAATAAACTTTTTAACTCTTAATAAATACGCTTCACATTATATAATATGAACTCGAAAAAAGGTAATATGAACTTGAAAAAGGGCATATTTGTGTGTATATCATAATATTACTATATAAGCACGTGTTTAAATATGTTAACAAAATGACAATGAACGATAAATCAACTTTTTATAAATTTTTAAAACATTAGCCGTCAAATGACATTAAATTATAAATTTAGTCCTTAGACTTTTTGTAAGTTTGTGTAACATGTCATTATTTGTAGGTCTTACTATGACCCAAAAAAGTTAGACGTCAAATAAAAAAAATTGATTTTTGAAATTGGAAATTTTAATGTATATTATTCTTCCATCACTACCGGTTGTATGGGATAAAAGTAAGGCAGGGCGCAGCAGATTGAAAACCAAGATATTTATTACATTGGTCCAATGAATTAAGAGGCAGGTCTGGAGGTTGTGGCCAATTGCGAATTCTAGGGTTTAAGGGCGCCATTTTTCCGAACTCGGCGGTGCGAACCAACATCAGCAACGCATGTTCTCTAGGGCTTAGCCAATTCCCTCGTTCCCTTGTCTTTACCCTCTCTCTTCTTGTTCCTCTGCTCCGTTAATGTCGGAAAACTCCATGGATTCCAAGGGGAATGATGCTGCCACTAATGGCGAACATGAGGACGCCAAGCCCTTGAACCACAAAGACGATGGGAGTAGACATGATCCTCCCTCTCATGGCGACGGAGCGAGTGCGGGGTAAGTTTTCTTGCTCTGTAATACTCCAAGCGAATCTCTGGGTACTCGGTCGATATTTTCTTGTGTGGGCATGGTATTTTGTGGTCATGATGTGTTGGACGATTTTGTTTTGTTTTATGCTTCTTGATCCGTTTATATGGTCGTTTGGGTGCTGTTGTAGGAAAATCTTCGTTGGAGGTTTACCGCGGGAAACGACTTCTGGTTAGTTTTTTACACTTCGTCTTGTGTGGTGTCAGGCTTCTTGCTACGCAATCTCTGTGTTGTTGTTGTTGATTTCAATTGATTATATGCAGCACAATTTGTTAAACATTTTGGTGATTATGGAGAAATTACGGACTCTGTTATAATGAAGGACCGGAAGACTGGACATCCCCGCGGATTCGGGTTTGTGACTTATGCTGATCCCTCTGTGGTAGATAAAGTCATTGAGGACACACATATTATTAATGGGAAACAAGTAGGCCTATGTTTAGTGTTGAATTTGAGTTAGACATTAGGTTTCAATGATTTTATGCTCAAACTTTGACTTAATTTTTAGGTGGAAATCAAGCGAACAATACCCAAAGGATCTTCCAGCTCTCGTGATTTCAAGACCAAGAAGATTTTTGTGGGTGGAATTCCTACGTCTGTAGACGAAGGTAGCTTATTGATTACACCATTGCTTTGTTTAGATGGTACTATGAGGTATTGAGTACTCACTTTTAAGTTTCAAGCAGATGAGTTCAGGGACTTTTTTATGCAATATGGTGAGGTTAAGGAACACCAGATTATGCGGGACCACTCCACTAGTCGGTCTCGTGGGTTTGGTTTTATTACATTTGAGACAGAGCAAGCAGTTGATGATCTCTTGGCAAATGGAAACAGACTTGAGTTGGCAGGCAGTCAGGTCAGCAAAGTTCTATCCTGGCTGCGATGGTCTAACATTTCCTCTCTCTATCTTTCGTAGATTTTGATGTATCAACACAAAATCTTCTTTCTGTTAACCAATTCGCTAGGTCCCTATTGTGGGTTTTTTTTATCATTTGTTTCAATTCTCTTTGAGAAATAGATGGAACTTCTTCCTCCTCATGTGGTTGCACAACTTTAGTATTTCTCGGATTTTGCACCATGAACCTTTGTTAGCAACACAACCTTTGTAGCACTACGAACATTTGTTGCACAACTTCTTCCTCCTCACTACGAACCTTTGTTATGCCGTACCAACATCTCCATTGCCACTATATCCTGAATTATTTTTGTTGTTACCAAGGCACAAGCATCTTCAATTGAGAAGTCTATACAGAGTAAGGATGGGGCCTGTAGGCTCCATCTTTTAACTTATTTGCGTCCATGGGTTCATTTGTTGTTCAGGGATGATCTGGATTGAAGTTGAAAAGTTCTAAATCTGTAAATCTATTTTGCAAAATGTTTTTGGAGAAGTAAATTAGTGGTTATTGAAAATAATTTTTTTGTTTTTTTGGAAGCAATGCTTGATATTGTTTGATTATTTGTCCTGTTTATGAACTTAAATATTAAAACATAGAATAGAAAATGATTGGAATCAAATTTTGAACATTTTCAAAATTAAACCTCACCTAAACAACAGAAAGCCATCTTTTATTGCATGCTTATTCAAGTTCAGATAAATGTTGAAACCAAAATTCATAAAGTTAACTGCATTTAAGGCTTTTTATAGGTCCTACTATGATTTTTTTATTGTATCAGTCACATGTACAACATAAGAATGGAGATTATTTACTCAACATATTCATCTATTGAAGTCATTTTAACAATTTGAGGTTTGTGTGTCTTTGTTCTAAAGGTGGAGATCAAGAAGGCAGAGCCAAAAAAGGCTAATCCACCTCCACCCCCTTCTAAAAGATACCATGATTCAAGGCCAAGTTACAGTGGTACCTATGGGGATGCATATGGGGAGTTTGGAGGTGGTGGGTATGGTGGTGGTTTTAGGGCTGGTGGACCGTATGGTGCTCGAGGTGGTGGATATGGTGGATATGGTGGAAATGATTTTAGTGGTTATGGAATGTATGGTACTGGTGGCATTGGAGCTTACAGAGAAGACCCCTCTATGGGGTACTCTGCTCGTTATGGAGCAGGCTTCAGTAGAGGTTATGATTTTAGAGGTGGTTATGGTGGACCTGACGAGAGTTATGGTGCATATAACAGCAGTGCTGCTCCTAATACTGGTGGGTATGCAGGTAGCTATGATATGGGCATTGGCACTGGATACCCTTCCGGTGGTAGAGGCTCCTTTTATGGAAGTAGAGGAGGAGGCGGAGGAGGTGGTGGTGGTGGTGGTGGAGGAGGAGGATATGATGGTGCAGGGAGTGCTCCAAGTGGTCGATATCATCCGTACGGACGGTAGTAACTAGTGGTGGGGAACCTTTGTTAATTGATGTGCTACCAGGACGGCAATGCTGATAAGTTCCCGGTCCTCAAAATTATGATAAATATGTGTGCCTCTTACCGTCACAAGATTCCTGCCATGTTCATCATGATCACAATTTTCAGAGATTTAGAATTTGACTGTACAATTGATTGTGACTAACTTGCTGGAGATTGTGCTAAGATTATGTATCACCCATATATGCCATTAATTTCTCCATTTTGCTATCAACATTTACGTTGTTTTATTGACATGGTTATTTTGAAGAATGTTTAATGAATTGGAATTTTTCGGTTTCCTTCTATTGCATGGTTGTTCTGAAAATTCTTTTTGACACCACCAATGGCATAAAAAAGGGTAAATCATGATACTACGAAATAGCGATAAAGGTCTCAACAGTGAGCTCCAGGAGGTTATGGAACTCAGAAGTTGCCAGTTGTGTTATGTTTGCACTCGCAACTCCTAGTAGAAGATGGTATGATAAATGCAATCCCTCTCTAAAGACGTTACCGTCATTCTGCTGTCGAAAAACTTCAATTGCTCGTCAATGTTTCCCTGTAAGTCTCTCTTCTTGTCCACTAAATTTTTTACTCATTGATTGCCACTCCTTTCTACACTAGAATGATTGTGAAAATTATTGCCTTTTTGTTTGATTTAATTGCTGTAAATTGGCTCAAGGAGCATCAAGAATGTGGGTTAGTAACTGAAATGCTATCTCTTGATTGAATTGTGAGTTTTAGGAATCTTGTTTGATGTGATGTCTCCACAGTTTGGGCCTTGGGGTGGGTGCAGACCTTTTTGTTGAAAAATGTATCTTAGTTACTTTTTTAAGGATGTGTTGAATGGGTGACCCGATGTATAGGATAATTTGCCTATGTAAAAAAGTAAGGACCCAGTGTAGGCAAGTATTCACCATCTTAAACCTGAGTTTAATGGAGGATTCAGGAAGCTTATTAAGAAAATTATGTCGGGAGCTTGAGTAGTGGATTACTTGTTCAAGTTATGGGTTTGAGAAGCCAAATAATGTGGTGAGGCAAACCCCTCCCTCGAACGTGATCTAGGCTTAGAAAGTCGAGCCCGCCCTAGTGTAACCCATGTTCCAAATATCGCCCCAGATGTGACTGGATATTCTTTACTAATATGAGCATAGTTGGGGAAGTTGGGTTCTAACAAATTCTTTGACCTTTAGAACCAAGTTATATGGTCATAATTGATAGGTATTATTCTAAGGTTTTATGAACTTCGACATCTTCCTCATGAAAGTTGCACAACTTTAAAGTATTATAACACAGCTAATGCTTCAATGAGTATGGTTATTGTGCTTAACTTTGTTTCATTGAGTTGTTATTGAACTACAGTGGCTGTCCTCTCAGTTTTTAGTGAGTGTTTTTTATATAGCCACGAATTAAAGTTGAGGGATGCTTTATAAGACATGCATCATAATGATCATGGGTGAATGGAGATCAACCAGAACGTTACAACCTCCAATAATTTCTTGTTCGGTGGTTCGACTTTTTCAATGATAACAAAGTAATGC